TAGAGAAAAGCACTGCTGAGGAGATATAATCTGTAACTTATTAATTCAATCATTTATAAAATTTTGCACACTTAGTGTGTACTGTCTTGTATTCTGTTAAAAATCAGAAATCAGGAAATGATTGACAGTGAGTCATGCTGTTTGCTGTGAGTTATCCAATGGGACTTAGACTTAGAATGCAGAATATGAAAAGCAGAAGTAACAAAAATATGCTAGCAAATGGCTGAGAAGAGATTATTTGGATAAAAAGATCATGGTTTCAAAGAAAATTATCACAGGGGAAGAGGGAAGAGAATAGTAATCAGGCAAATAGATGGAAATAGGATGGATTTCAGACCAGAAAACTGCGCTTAGTCAAAAGTGAGAACAAGGTGGCACTACAGGGTTACAGATATGGAAGCAATGTTTAAAATGAATTGGAATTTGGTCTTCAGGTTAAGCTTTTCTTCCCTATAAAATTTTTATTTCTATTAGTACATGTTTACATTTCTTGTGGAGTTGGTGCATGTTCATAACATATCTTAATTCCTTTTTTAATCCCCCCTCTCTTTTCTCTCTCTCCCTCCCTCCCTTCATCTCTTTTTTCTTTTTCTTTTCTTTTTTTTTTTTTTTTTTTTTTTCAATCAAACTTGGGCCCTTGCGCTTGCCGGGCAGGTGACGGAACCACTGAGCTAAATCCCTGGCCCCCTCCCTTCATCTCTTGATCTGCTTCCCATTTGAGAAAGATCCATCTCCCTACTTCTGAGTATCTATCTTTTATTTTGCTGATCGTTTGGGTTTCTTATATAAGAGAAGCCATGTGATATTTAACCTTGTGTTTCAGCCTTTCTTCTTAGGTGATCATGAAGGCCAAAGGCAGGCAACATGAAAAAATCCCTGTATTTTCAGAGAGGACTTAGTTATGAGGTTTTTATTCTAAGTCAAAAATATGCAAGAGCCAAGGATTTAGCTCAGTGTTGCCACGCCTGCCTCTAAGAAGTTCAAGGTCCTGAGTTTGATCCCTGGTAATGGAAAAGAATAAACAAATTATGTGTGTGTGTGTGTGTGTGTGTGTGTGTGTGTGTGTGTGTGTGTGTGTGTGTGTGTGTAGTGTAAGGATCAAAGATATCATCCCAATATCCTTTTTTTCTCAACATTTCCTCATAATGATTTCTCATGTTCTAGACACAAGGATAAAAACATTCAGACTGAGTGTTCATGTGCAGTGCTGTTTACAAAGTTTACCCGTGTGACAGTCAGCTTCAGTGGCCTGGCCCAGTCCTAGGGCATATCTCCCTCTCTCAGCTGCAACCTGTGTCTTTGGGAAAAAGCCTGATAGCACCCAACTCCGGTGTCTCTTATAGAAATGGAATGAGTATGACAAGTGTTTTAAAAAGTTCATGTGCTATACTATAATCATAAAATCCTATAAAATTACACATTAAAAAAATCAAGTAAGATATATAGGATTTTCTCTACTTACTTCTGCTTATTCCCAAAGTTTAGATTAAATTATGTCTACAAAAGAACTCCAAGTCAATCCCAAGCAAGGTCAAGGCACTAATAGCACAGCCTGTCTTTGCTATAAACCATATTACTCTCTGGCACAATTAGGGGTTCTAATGATGTCTTTCTCATCCACTCAACTGTTTGTTTTTTATAGACCATGCCTTCATGTTCTCTTCAATCGATCTAGTACAGTACCTCAGAAATAATTCAAGACAACTGCAAACTGAAGTAACCCCAAGTTACTAATATTGTAAAAAGCTTCACTAAGTACATCCCATATAGTATCTACTAGAGTAACTACAGGAGGTAAATGAGAGCAAGTCCAGGCAGATACAAGGGGAGCTTCCAACAGCAGAGAGCTGGCTTGCTCTGAACTCTGCCCTTTGAGATGAAGTGACAACTTGTTCTCTCCACTTTCTCTCAAAATTCTCTCCTACTTTACCCATGAACACTCCAGTATGAAGATCATGGCTCAAATATATTCATTCATTAAGTTTTCATTCAAACTTCTTGGCCAGAATTTAGGCCCTCTTGATTTTGGTTTTGCTCCTTTCACAGTTAATCACCATTTCTCAAACACTTCATAGTCTGTGGTTTCCCTGTTGTTATTTACCTCATCTACTTGGAAATAGTCTTCACTTCATTCTATGACAACTCTAACACTCCTCCACAGTCTAAATCAAACACTATGACCTCTGTGAATCATATAGAAAAGAAAAATAGATATAATATATTCAGATTTGCAAAAAGAAACTTCATGAGTTCCAAAATCATGTAGTATTCAGGAGATCAAATCATTAATATTTTGACATTTTCTTATAGCTAAGGATAAATATGTTTAAGTATTTCATTCTATTTTCTTAATTAAAAAAAGAAGCGCCAGGGATTTAGCTCAGCAGTTCGGTGGCCTGCCTTGCAAGCACAAGGACCCGAATTCAATCCCTGGTACACACACACACAAAAAAAAAAAAAAAAAAAAAAAAAAAAAAGAAGAAGCAAGATCATCATCCATAAAAAAATGGGAATAAGAGGGTTGAGAGAAGAAAAAGAATAGTCTACAAGGCAGAAAAAATGGGGACAAACGAAGGAGAAACAGCTACTTGAGGTTGTGGTTAAGAAATGAGAGTGAGACTGGTCAGCTTGGTCCTGTTTTTCTCTATTCATATTCAGCTGTGTGAGTCAGAATGAGAACATGTGAAGAGTTGGAATAAGGAAGGTTGGAGTTTGTCACATGTAAGGGACTTGAACATTTAGGGAACTCCGAGTGATAATAGCATAAACTGTGAGAGCTAAGTTGGTAAAAATTGTATTGGGAAGTATGGGTAAGGGACAGTAAAAAAGAAAAAAGTAGGATTAATATATTTTAGGTGTCACTGAAACTGAAAAATTATTACAGTTGGATTTACCGCATGAAGACAATGGTGAGTGTCAGATCCTCAAAATTGAAAATATGAATGGTTGCTGAACTGGTAAAACCAAGCCTAAGATATGAGTGTGTGGGAAGAAGGGAGGACAAGATAATGAGAGAAGAGGATCAAGGGTCTTTCACTCTATTTGAATAATTCCTTAAAACTCTAAACATACATTATATTTATATTCTATGCATTTTTTGTTTCTGACAAGAAATGAGAAATCCAGATGTTTCTCAAATAGGGTTCTACCAGAGAAGATGATTTAAGTAATTATTTTTTAATATATCAGTGACAAAAAATAGTACAACGGATGAGGTAAGGAGGAGACTACCATTCTAGATGAATAGGTGATAAGTCATTTCATTACATACAATACTGCATTAGGACATTTATTCCTTAATGAACCCTAGGTGATAAGAAGAGAGAAAAAAGGTCTCAGAATAAAGGGAATATGGTTCTATTCCTTAATCCCCCATAAATATACGTATTCCATTTGGATAGAGGTTTTCCATTCACAAAGTACTTTTACATGCCTATCTCATACAATCCTAACAACTACTAGGTAAGATAAGTGAGAAGATCAAAAATAAAAGGTAAAATATAAGATAAGCAGGCAGGGGATAACTCAACAGTAATTGTAAATCTCATTTTATTTTTTTGAGATTGGATTCTCACTTCGTTGTCTAGTCCATTTCTGGGTTCAAGTGGTCCTCCTACCTTAATCTTCAAGTAGCTGAGATTAAAGGCATGTGCTACCATGCCCGGTAATTGCAATTCTTATTTTATTGATGAGATAGCTACATTAAATAACAGGATGAAATATAGGTTTATAGGCCTCTCATCGAGAATATAATACTTTTTTCTCTGTAACTCCAAGTTTTGGCACAAGCAGCTGTTAATTGTATGTGAAGCCCTTCCTCTTATAATCCTACTCCACATAATGTCCTGCTCTGTAGCAGCCCCCAGCAGTGCAATCGGTTAGTGCACAATACTTATATAATATCCTGCTGCTGTACTGCACTGTATGTCTCTCTGCTTTCACTAGACTTTAAGCTCTTAGGAGACAAAGACTGTGTGTTTTTAGTATTAGTATATCTAGACCTTAACTCAAAAATATTAGCTGAAAAATGAAAGAGGACAAAAAAATGTAAATGTCAATCTGTTAGAAAATAAAACTTGTAAGATGTATATATTGTGCATCTTAAAATTTGAAGAAGTTATTCAAGCAAAGTTTGAAATAAAACAGATTCTGGAAACTTTCATGAGGAAAATTTAAAAGTGTAGATAGGCTTGGACAAAAAAATACTAAGAAACATACCTATTTCAAAATATCTCAAGTTATCACATAGAAAGTAGTATTTTATGCTCTCTCACGGGACAGAAAAGGGTACCAGAGGGCCAGGGATTTAGCTCAGTGGTTCTGTCACCTGCCTTGCAAGCGCAAGTACCCAAGTTCGATCCCCAATACCAAAAAAAAAAAAAGGGGGGGGTGGGTAGCAGCAATTGAAGGAGGGGAATTTTGGTTTAATATAATGACTCTAAAAGGCAAAAGCTCTCCAACTGAAATAAAAGTCTGTCTTTCTACAGGCAGTAATCTTCCCTAAAAGATGGACTAGTTGGAAAGAACACACAACATTTGCAGTGGAGGAAGCACCAGACTGTAATTGAATGATATCATGCTATCATCATAAATCTAAGCTCTAGTAAGCAGTACAACTGGAAACTTAGTAAAAGAACATAAAAGGAACTTAGTAAAAAGTCTAGAATACCAGATTTCTGACTCTGGTTCAATATACTATGTGATTCAAAAATAAAATTCTAGTTGGGAATTTAGCTCAGTGGCACTGCACCTGCCTCGGAGGCAGAACATCCTGAGTTTGAACCCTGGTATCAAAAAAATAAAATAAAATTCTACTTTGTTGGTACTGAAACATTATGGTTTGAGTATTGCTCATTCTTCCTATTTTTATATACAGATATAGGTATAATACATTTCATATAACTGTCAATTTATATGACTTTTTTGAGTTTTATTCACATATCCAACAGCATATTTCCTTTTTTCCTTGCAATAGGACAAAAAAAAAAAAAAAAAAGAACATGAGCTTTCTAAGTACAGTCTATGTCCTTTTCTTCTTCTTTGGAGTCAAGGTATATTGCCAATATCAAATTTATCAGTGGGATGAAGATTATGACCCAGAGCCAAGTGAGGATTATGAGCCAGAATTCCAGTTTCATCCAAATATAGAATATGGAATTCCTTATCAGCATATTTCAGGTTGTGCCAGTGAATGCTTCTGTCCAACTAACTTTCCATCATCAATGTACTGTGACAATCGCAAACTCAAGACAATCCCAAATATTCCAATGCATATTCAGCAACTCTATCTTCAGCTCAATGAAATTGAAGCTGTGACAGCAAGTTCATTCACCAATGCAACTAATCTTAAAGAAATTAACCTCAGTCACAACAAAATTAAATCTCAAAAGATTGACTATGGTGTGTTTGCTAAGTTTTCAAGTCTACTACAACTTCACCTTGAGCATAACAATTTAGAAGAATTTCCATTTCCTCTTCCTAAATCTCTGGAAAGACTCTTTCTTGGTTACAATGAAATTTCCACACTGCAAACAAATGCCGTGGATGGACTGGTAAACTTGACCATGCTTGATCTCTGTTATAATCATCTTCGTGATTCTATGTTAAAAGAAAAACACCTTGCCAAAATGGAAAAATTGATGCAGCTCAACCTATGTAATAACAGATTGGAATCAATGCCTCCTGGACTGCCTTCTTCACTTATGTATCTATCTTTAGAAAATAATTCTATCTCTTCTATACCAGAGTATTACTTTGACAAACTTCCAAAACTTCATGCTCTAAGAATGTCACACAACAAACTGCAAGACATTCCATATAATATTTTTAATCTTTCCAATCTTATAGAGCTCAATGTTGGACACAACAAATTGAAGCAAGCATTCTACATTCCAAGAAATTTGGAACACCTATACCTAGAAAATAATGAAATAGAAAGTATGTAAAATTTTATTATTTTTTTACAGAGTAAAAGAATGTAATTTTGACTCTATAAGAACAAATCTTTAACAACTTATGCTTTACATATTGCTGAAAAGAGCTGTTTTGAAGTTGGCTGAGGAAATGGCAGATATTGGTCCCACAAAGTAGTATGCCATTAGTTTCACTGACTTTTCAATGAAATTATCATCTTGAATATTGAGAAATAGTACTACAGAATATGTGACTATGAATATCCTCAGGGACTATGGATAACTTTTCTTTTTATTTTATTTTAGCTTGTTTCTATCAAGAATATATTACTTAAGTAATCAGAAAAGCCAATAAAATCACATTAATTTGAGGAATATAAAACTCATTTATAATTTCAATTCCTTCATATCAGTTGATTAGCATTAAAAATTAAACCTAATTCCACCTGCATTTTAATTAAACTATGTCCCATACAACATAAAACCCAACATAGAATTATGACTATAAGGCAGGATTAATTTTTAATTTGTATTTTTCAGATGTCAATGTGACAATGATGTGTCCCTTTGTTGACCCACTACAGCAGCACCATTTAACATATCTTCGTGTGGACCAAAATAAGCTAAAAGAGCCAATTAGTTCATATATCTTCTTCTGCTTCCCTCATATACACAGTATTTATTATGGTGAACAAAGAAGCACTAATGGTCAAACGATACAACTGAAGACCCAAGTTTTTGGCAGGTTTCAAGATGATGATGAGGAGGAAGATCATGATAATCATGACAACACTCCTGTGAGTCAAGAACAAGAAGGGTCAGAAGAACACTTTGATCCTCATTACTATGACATTCAGGAATGGCAAGAAATTATATAGTCATACATTTATGACTTCAGAAAACCTTACTACTCAATATAAATACAAATATACATTGCTCGAAGTAATATAGTTAGAATTGTGTATTAGTATAAGATCAATATTACATTTAAGTCGCTGATGATAATTACATCATTACATAGGATTAGAACTTACTCAAAATGATATAAATGTTTAGAAATATAAATTAGAGGACTACTAGGAACAAAAACCTTAAATTTTAATGGCTTCTGATAACTTTTAAACCTAGAAATAACATCATAGTGAAAAAAAGTGTCACTTCTAGTAAGAGTAATGTTTTTAAGAATGAAAGAAGTAGAATTGACAGTGAAGGCATGGATGAGGATAATACATGACAGGAGGGCACATTAACATAAGAACAGCCACTCATTTAAGGAAAAGGCAATTTTCTTTAACTGTCTCCCATAAAAGCTTTCAGACTTATATTAGTGATCTTCTCACTATGACATACATCTCACTGGTTCAGCACCTAGAGCACAGAATGATAGCTTTGATTTTCAAAGGATCACCCTACTATGAATACGGGGCAAACAGATTAATGAAAGCAAGTGTTCGCATTCTTCTCTCAGAGCACCAAAGCAGAAACACTGAATTTGGATAACTAAAGATCAGATTATTTTAGCACAATCTGTATTTTAGCAAATTTTAGCAACTAGGATAAATGTTTTAATAGTAAACTAAATTAGAAAAAGGCCTCTGTTTTGGTTACATGAAGCTTTGCTAAAAATAAGTGCTTTGTTCCTAAAGTTAAGTTAATGTTAAGAAAATAAAGCTCTTTAAGTATTATTGAACCTTTCTGTTTCCTAGTAAAATACATTAGAAACATATATGCTTATCAGCCAGTATTTTTTTACATAGTGCTACAGCTGAATACAATCCATTTAAAAATCTGAGACAGGTTTTAATGTCTTTTTCTAAAACTTTAAGACTCATTTATGTTCTCTGATCTACCATTTTAAAGTCATATAAGTATGGTATGGCTTATAATGGAAATTCTAAACACTGAAGAACTCTCTTGATTTACCAGACTATTTCATAAAATTCCTTAGGTAAGGTATAAGTACAAATCTGGGGTTGCCTATACAGGAAACACAAAACACAGGCTAACAATTCAGACAATGTGCAAAAACAAGATAGGTAAACTGTATTATATCTCTGAGTAGGTAGGTTATTATATCTGAGTAGTAGTATGATCTGAGTAGTATTATATCTCTGAGTAGTAGCGTTACAAGGAGCAGAACACTCATCTTCCACAAAGACAACTTGACAATACAGAATGAACGTGTACCAAACTCCATTCACTAATTAACCTTATTTAGTATATCATTTGGTGTATTAGGCTTAGCAATGAGAGATCAAGAAATGGATTACAAGCCAGTCGTGTTGGTACATGCCTATAATCTCAGCACTGGGAAGGCTGAGGCAGGAGGATCATGAATTCAAGGCCAGCTTGGACTACACAGTGAAACTCTCTCTCAAAAAGAAAAATAGATCACAAAAATGCAACTGTGATACCACAAGACAAAAAGGGTGAGAGTAAAGATAAGAGCGAAATGCTAGTGATATAGGCATGAGGAGACATCAAGAAAATGCAAATCAAAACTACAATGAAAAAGGAACTGGGATTTTAGCTCAGTGGCGCCGCGGTGCTTTGTAAGCACAAGGTCCTGAATTTGATCCCCAGCATGGAAAACAAAAAACCTACAAAGAAATGAGAGACCTACTGCACACTCATTAGGACTGCTGAAATCAAACGACAGACAAATAATAAGAGCTAGTGAGGAGATGGAGAAATTGATCTCATACACTAACTGACAAGAGTTTAAAATAGTACAGCTGCTTCAGAAAGGTAGTTCTTCAAAAACTACAGTCATTTATGAATCAACAATTCTTTCAGGTATACAATTCAAAAGAACTGAACATACATTCACACAAAAATTTGTACATGAATGTCAACAGCTGTATTATCTAAATGAGGAAACTGGGCTGGGAATTTAGCTCAGTGGTTCTGCCGCCTGCCTTGCAAGCACAAGGACCCGAGTTCAATACCCAGTACCAAATTAATTAATTAATTAATTTAAAAAATGAGGAAATCATTCAGGTGCTCAACAGTAAAGAATGGGTAATACAACTAGGCTTATCCACAAAGGGAATATTAGTCAGCTACAAGAATTAATAAAGCAATGCCACATACTACAAATGGGATGAACTTTGATAACATTATGCTTAGTGAAAGAAGTTAGTCATAGGAGAATGCATATTGTACAATATCATTTATCTGAAATGTTTAGAAAATGGAAATTTGTAGAGACAAAAAGATTACTGGCTAACTAAGGCACAGAGATAAGGGATGGGGAAAAATTCAGCATTACTGCTAATAGGCAGAGGGTTTCTTTTAGGGGTGATGAAATTTTCTAGAATGATTGGATTGTGGTAATGGTTACATAAAAGCCTGAAAATACGAAAAATAATTAAAATGTACATTTTAAAAAGGATAATTTGTATTGAATGTGAATTAGTTCAAGAAAGCAGGTAATTTTAAAAATTTAATTTAAGAACAAAAACAAGAGCAGTGGATATAGTGGCCTATGCTTGTAGACCCAGCAATCGAGGGTGAGGCAGAAGGATCTCAAGGTCAAGGCCAGCCTGGGCTGCACAGTGCATTCAATTCCAGTCTGGACAACATACTGAAACCCTGTCTTAAAAAAAAGAAAAGAAAAAGAAAAAAGAAAAAAACAAGATCAAATCACTATAACACGAAGAAGAAATGAAATTCTGAACTGTCAGCAACTACAAACTTTGTGAGTAAGGATACCATAACTGTTAGTCCTGGCCAGGGACTGGTGAAATAGCTGAAAGCTTCAGAAAATAGAGACACTTTAATATGTGATAGGAACTAAACACTAAATGTGGAAGTGGAGGGAAAAGCTCCTGGCTGAGATTAATGTAAAGAAATAGCAATTACTTGCTTAAATTCTTATACAGTTTAAAAAGTAAAAATCCTCTAATTTTCCAAATTCTGGACCTTCTATTTTACCTCCTCCTAAACTTAAAATACATTTTAAGTCTTAGAGAATATTCTTAGCAAAGAATAAAATTTCACAATTTAGCAATTCAAACCAAGGAATTTGCTATCAGATACACGTATGAAGCCCGACTTCACTTCTAAGCTAGGAGACGCTGACTAAGTGACTTAGGGTCTTTGAGCCTCCCTTTTTTACATAGTCGTTACATGGCCAGAAAGAGAGTGCTGTACATGCCAGCTTCAGGATCCCAGTAAAACAATGACTCCCGCTCAGCATGTCTGGCCCCACTGCCCACAGGAGCTGGTGCTGCATACTATAGACATCATGCACTGGCCTTCTCCCCACAGCACACACAGTGGACTCAGCAGGCCTAAGTTCTTTCCAAAGTTCTACTCGTAGGAAAGGTTAGTGAACAACATAGGCTTTGCTAAGGGTTTCATTAGGATATTTAAATCATATACCCCACAACAAACAAATACAGAGTCACTACTGGAGAGTCTAGCTTTCTGTAGCATCTTTCCCATGTCTCACTACCTCTCCTAAGTCTGCTCTTCTATTCCTACAGTGCAGTCAAACTTTTATGAGAAGAACACTTCAACTCTGCTCTGGCTTCTCCCTCCAAAGGTATATAAGTAAATGCATCATGAAATACCCTCCAGCTCAAGTCATGATTTGGATGCAGGTTAACAACTATTATGTTATTTGAAAATGCACTGGGGAACTCAAACACACCCCAACTATTTCTCAAACATAAAAACTGCAACCCTTTCCCTGGAAGAAAATGAAGAATAGTTTCTTCAACTACTATATCAAGATGGCAGTTACCTTACAGAGCTACAGACTATACCAGTTGATTTAATATTTATATTAGGAAAGAAAAAGAAAAATCCACCTATATTTTTTTCATTCTCATTATATGCAATGCAAAGTACTCAGTTATGTTAGTAGACTAAACTGTGGCTACTAACATAAATCCAAATCATACCATAAATCCAGGATTAATCAATAAACACAAGGGCATAACAAACAAATTTTATTTAGCTTTTAAGAAGAAAATAAAAATGAAAGATGCTTCATAAACTTGCTCAAAGTAATACTGGCTGATAATGTTTGGCTTGTGTTTAAATATTACCTGAAACGCTATACATACATTTTTATTTTATGCTCACTCAACTTTGGGAACACTAAACTAAAATACAGATAGATATATGCATATCACATAACACTCAGTCAACTCTACAGGCAGGGGAAAAAAGCAAGTAGAAGAAATATACTGTTTCTTCTATATGTCTTTTGTGGAGGTGGTGTTGTGGTTGTGTGGACATCTTATGTCCACAAGGACAACTCTAACTAAAACCGTCGTTTTCGGACTCGAAAACCAATTTTTCCCCTAAATCCTAGAAATAAATTATAAGAACAGCTGGAAATGAAGTTAAATCACATTATCTAAAAATCCAATGTTCTTTATATTCTCCAGTTTCCTCAATAAATATAACTATGTCTAGTTACAAACTATGCCTTGGTATAACTTGGCTGAGTTATAAATACCATATCATGGACACATCTTTCATTACATGTTTAGGTTGTAAATTCATTGTGCAGAAATTTATGCACTACTAACAAAAACTAAATTCATAAATAAGGCACACTTTTACCATGAACTCTTCCTTACACTGAGCCATAATTCCCCTCCCACTCATCAAAGCTTTAAGTGAATTCTTGGAGTCCTTCTAGAGAGTTATCAAATGTAGTTTGGGGAAACACTTGAACTTGGAGTTGGTATCAGAAATTAAGATAGTACTGGGTGGGCAGAACACAAGTTTGCTTATTTTTCAATATAATTCTGGATATTTCCAGATTCTTGCTATGTAATCACTACCATTACTATGTATGTACACACCAAGGCTTGCTTCTAATCAACAGACCATGTAAAGTTCAGCACACGTGATTATGTGCATGTGACTGCCATGAAAGACTGTGGTGTCCACCTTGCTAGAAGATGACCTCCCTCTGGCTGTGAAGCAAGCTGCCATATCATGAGCTGCTTTATGGAAGAAGTTACATTGCAAGGAGCAAGGTCTTCAGTCAACATTGAGGTCTTTAGTCCTCCCCAAAATGGTGAAGATTTTAGTCCCATATTCTGTAAGGATCTAAATGATATCAACAACCACATGTTCTTAGAAGTAGACCCTTTCCTATCCAACTCTTGAAGTGGGGCACCAGATTTGGCTGGACTCTAAATGCAGTTTTTAGGGGAGATTCTGAAGCAGGCAGGCAAACAAAACCATGTTAAACTCCTGACCCACAAAAACTACAAGATAATTTATTATTTTAAGTCACTGATTTGTGATAATTTATTACAGAGTATTAGATAACCAATATGACAAATTGGCATTCTTCAGAAATGCGACATTAGTGGAATATCTCTAAAAGGCAAATAGATCATATCACTCACTGGCTTACTAATCAGTGGTTTCTCGGTGACTATAGACAATGAGGAAGGTATAAAAAACTCTTTAAGTCTTGTTCCCTCTGTAGTCACATCTCTTAATATAGTCCATCCACTTTATCTCTTCTATTTATTCCTTCAAGCTCCAGACACATGCAACCAACTACAAATTTTGTAGATTATCTACCCAATTCCCCTAACAGTGAACTGTTCCCTTGTCCTGGAACATTTCACTGCTGCCTTACCTCTCTCTCTACTCAGTACAGAAGTCAGCATGAGTATACTCTCCTTGACCTCAACCAATTAGCATCTGTGGCCTCTCCCAGGTACCAGAGAGTCCTGTGCACATTTCTGTGCAGCAAGCCAAACTTGCATTCTAGTTGCTGGTTTGCTGTCTTTCCTGATGACTTAAAAGACTATAAAAGATCCTCATGGGAAGAAACTGAATCAGCTTGCCTACAATTCTAGCACAGAATTGGTACTCAATAAACTTTCATTGAATGAATGGACGCTAATGAAATTGTATTTGCTGGTCACAATTTTTTAAGAAAAGATATAATCTACAAAATAATTTTTGACAGTATAAAGTATCAAATTGTACCATAGTTATGTGAATTTCCCACAATGAATGTAATCATTATGAATTATAAGCATGTACTAATAAACATGAAAAAATGCACTATTAATAAAGTCATGATTCTCTAAGTTTCTCTAAGTCTGAAAATCTATACAGCTTAATTTTCAACACCCTGTTAAAAGCCACACAATACAAAACAAATCAAAATCTGCTGTTTTGTTACACATATCAAAGACTTAAAAATTTTATTATTGCCGGGGATTTAGCTCAGTGTTTTGCCACCTGCCTCAAAAGCGCAAGGTCCCAAGTTCAATCCCCAGTACCCAAAAAAAAGTTTCATTATGTTAAAAATGAAACTTAAAAAATTGCAAAACTTTAATTGTACCTTAAAGCCACAAAATTAACAATTTTTCTCAAACTCACAAAACAGCACAACTAAATTTAAAATAAGTCACATTCAAATAAAGACATGTATTCAAGTCTTAGTTTATCTAAGCTTTGATTTTAAATGCTCTAAAATCAATTTTGACTAGAAAAGAGAATAAATTAGTATTCTTCATGCTTTTTTGTAATAAAATATTATCCACATTTGTTAAATTTTTACCCTACAGAAAAAACATTACCTTTTTTGTTTTTAGCTTTTATTGAGTTTTATTGGTACATTTCAGGTATACAGTACAGTTACATTCATTATTGGGATCTAGTACCTTTACATGATAGGTCTTGGTTCTCATTTTTCCCCTTACCCCTGCCCTCCCTTCACCCCCTCCGCCCCTCCCCATTTACAAACACTTTATTTCCATTTTTTCATATTTTTTTCCCTTATTACCTTTCCCCTACCCTTACTACTTCCCCTATACCTTTAGCCCTTTTCTTCCTATTTCACATGGTTAATTATCTCATTAGTATCTTATGTACTATTATAGTTTTTCACACCAGAGAAACTATTTGGTATTTACACATGTGTGACTTATTTATTTCACTTAGGAGTATATCTTCAATATGTATTCATTTTCCTATGAATGAATCTAATTTCTCATTCTTTATGGCAGAAACATTACTTTGATAGCTAAAAGCACCAAAAAAGTAATAAGTTAATTTTAAAAATTCTTTCATGATGTTTATGTGCTATCAATAATACTACTTTAAACCTTCATATCAAATCTAATATTAGAATAATTTTATACAGTTCCTTTTGGTCAGCAAGCAAAACTTTTTTTTACTATCATCAAAATTATAAATGAAATTTACTTTTAGAAAGCTAATTGTCATACTTCAACTTTTGTTATATATAAGTTAAAAAAACAAAAAAGGAATAAAAACACTACAGAATGAAGCTATGAATAATCTGTGTTAAAACTAATTTTTAAATGGGACATTTCTGGCTATACAGCAACTATAGAATTATTATTATTATTTTGTTTTGTTTTTGTGGTACCAGGGATTGAACTTAAGACCTTGCACTTGTGAGGCAGTTGGCTCAAAACCTTGCACTTGTGAGGCAGTCGGCGGCACCACTGAGCTAAATCCCCATCCCTAGTAATTATAGAATTAAAACAAAACGTTTAGTTCTCATAAAATTAAGAGCATAGACTTTGCTTTAGTCGGTGGCGTATTTCATTAAAAAAAAAAAAAAGAACAACAAAACAAAACAAAAACCAGAAGTTTTAGCTCCTGGAAAAGCACCAAAATGAAAAGCATGACTTTATAAGTACGTCATTTTCATAAACTAATATTCACTAAAAACTTTCTATACAAGGTAAAAAGAACACGGGTTTGCAGTCAGTCAAAGGAGTCAAGGGCAACAGTTTCAAATGTCTTCAGCGCAGTTCTCTAGTACAACACCCTGCATTTCACCCTACAGAAGGAATGTTGGCAAAGATCTCTACCACATGGAAACTGCTCTTAAAACTGTTGGGCCTTGAAATTTTATTCAGCAGTCTGAAATCAACTCACAGCTTTTCTCATTCACACTCCCACTTGGGACTAGTGCACAGACATGAACACCTATTGAGGAAAACCAAAAAACCTTCAAAACAGCTGCAACGGTAGGCTTGCTTTTCATATATTATTTTAAATACTGTTTGTTAAAGTGTAATATATCTTATACTCTTACATGAAAAGGACATCTGTAATATGTAAGTTTCAGTTACCTTGAATCTTTAATTTTTAACAAGTACTTTTCATATCATTGCATTGTATTAATATCAGTGTGGACAAGAACTGGGTATGGCAAAATGCACAAACCCATTTCAATCTTTGGATTTTTGACACACTGGCATCTATAATGCAGTATCAGCAACTCTGACTCTGCCTGAAGCTACCTAAGAAAGTCTTAAATGTATACCCAGAGGAAATATGAGTCTCGAAGGAGCTTCTCTAGTACATTCCCCAAGATCCCTGATTAAAGTTCTAAATCTCCTCTAGTCTGCAATACTGTTGCTATAATTTTCATAGTTCAAAAAAGCAGTAATATAACCTCAAAATAGTGACAAATTATTAAATTTACAACAATAAGATTTATGGATTTTCCAATATTATGTACCAACTAAAAGTAAAAGTTAATGACTACTTTTCAAGAAGTAAAATTTCAGGTTTAAGTTTTAAAACTTTTCTTGGAAATTGCTTCTTTCATACCAATACAAATCAAGAGTCCTTATAAAGCAGCAGTTGAAATATGATATTTTTAACTCACATGAGACAGGATCTTGTGTCTTCACTTTAACTATTTGTATTATATGTATCCTAAGAAGATTTCAATTGTATATGAATACCCATATTCAGGGCACTTAATTATTAAGAGACATAAATTACCAATATTTCTTGGATTTTTGCTAGACACATTAAACTTTCTGAAAGAATTTTTCAGAGTGTTCACTGATACACAAAATCTGTTAGTATCTAATTAAAGATCACTAAGGGTTAAATACTTTTTCTCTGGCCCCTACTTCGTACACCCTGCCAAAAACATCCTCTAAGCTTTTAAATATTGCTTCGATGGTCTGCATTTTTCTTTCCAAGGAATAAGAGAGTTTTGTTCCACAATAAGCAGGCTAGTAGTTTATTAACTTCCAGTCACCTTGATTTCTGCTGAAATGAAGACTATGCGGTCCACCCTTCTACTATTACTGTTCGTGCCTCTGACACAGCCAGCACCATCAGTTCAACAGGACTCACACGATATCTATGAGTATGGACCAGATAATTCTGAAGAAACCATGTTTAGCCAAGACTATGAGGATAAATACCAAGATGGAAAAAATATTAAGGTACTTGATCTCTACTCTAAATTTGTCTTCTAAAATAATATCCATTTAAATGCATGTTTTTGTTTTTTCATGAATATGTCTGATGAGGTAAGAGGAAAAGAAAAGCATTTTAAATGATTAAATCTTAAATGTCCCTAAGATTAGACTTTTAATATTTGTATACCTTCCAAATTAAAAAACAATACCTATGGTAATCAAACAGTAGCTATAGTAACCAAAAACAAAATTTAAAGGAAACTGTGGACTTTAAGGTGATCCCTGTCTAACTGCAATTTTTATGTTTAGTATTACATAGTGCCCTATATTTGTATACTATATTGCCTCAAAAATAAATTAGGAGAAATAAAGATGAATTATCAGGTCTATTATTTTATTTATTTATTGGTTTGTTTTTGTTTTTGTTTTTTGAGACAGGGTCTCACGATGTAGTTGAGACTGACCTGGAACTCACTATGTAGCCCAGGCTGGTCTCCAACTCACAGCGATCCTCCTGCCTCAGCCTCCTGAGTGCTGGGATTACAGGCGTGTGCCACCACGCCCAACTTCAGGTCTATTATTTTAGAAAAACCAGTTCAATGACAGAAAAGTGCTTGTGATGCTAACTATATACAGCACCAAAATAATAAAAAAACCACTTAATATGGGGTTTTAAGTCTATCAATTTATATCAAGGATCTGTAACACGGGTTAACACCCTGCAGGGATAACTTTTGTACCACATCATGCATATCCTCCTTTATAGGCAAAGAAAGTACTTGTGGTTTTATTGGCACACAGAAAAAATGTTAGATAAAGAAAAAGTTAACAGCATATACACTATTTGTTGCACACTGTGTGTAACACACACATATATTGTAAAATAAGAAATGTAGATGAACACATAACATTGATTGCTTCAGAAGTTCTTCTCTGTAAATTACATAGCAAAATTTTCATTGAATAATTAAAACTGCTTTTCTTTTAGCACACAATGAATATGTGTTAACATCACAGTGTCTTCCAATAAAATTAGTTAACATGGTGGCAATATTTTTGCTCTATGATTAAGACCCCAAAATAGGTACTTTAGTCACAACTTAAGTTTTTAAAAAAAGGAGAAAAAGAAGCATATTATAATAAACTAATGGCTCATTTGGATGATTTGAATATATTAATTAATTTTAAGAACACTTTCAAAATTCCTTGGTCTAAAGGGCTTAGAGATGACTTTCCTTCTGCTTCTTCTTTTTTACAGGCTCTAGCAGTTTCTGTCTTATTATAAATGTGTGGACTAACTAACATCTGTGCAATGGAGTGGAATTCAGTGGGACAGAGTGTGGGAAGGGTGTTCAGGAAGCACACAGATGAAAAATGAAGGCTAAGGGCTAGGACAGTAGCCATGACTGAGATAAGGTGGAGCAAGCTTACAAAGGATAGAAAGAACAGAACCCTCACTAATACACTGTAGTACTGGCAGAGAACACTCCCTGAGAACAGGAGAGAGGCTACATGACAAGGACCTCCATTTCTAGTGTCACTAACATACAGCAATGGGCTGAATGGGAGAAGAGGCTAGAATACAAGGGCCTCAAAGGTCAGGGCATGGAGCCATGCAGATAATTAAAAGGTCACTCTTGGAAGAGACTGAAAAGAGCTCACTAAGCCCTTCACAATACGGCATGCTGGAGCCCCAGTGTTGCTCAAAATGAGAATCTGATAAGAGCAATAAAGTTCAGACAAGAACCACATGGGATACTTTCACTTCAGAAAAACTTTCACTCACATTCAGAGAATTCTCTCCCAGCTCCTTTCCATTTGGAATTTCAATATGCTCAATATTTACAGAGTAATGAGTTTAGCCACTGGAAATCTAAAAGTTAAAAGGACTGGTTCTTTCATTCAAGAAGTGCAGAGTCTAAAATAAAAAACATATTTACATTGTAATTTAATGCATGATGAAAGAGAACTTTGTATAAAATCCTAATGAAACACAAAAGAAACACTACTAATTATGAATATGAGAAGTACTGTCTGTGATCCAAGTTTATAATCAAACTTATTTTTCTAATAGGAAAAAGTACCTATGTATGATAACAGTTTTCAGTTACAAAGAGATGAGACTGTGACATCATTACCCACCAAGATAGAAAATGATGGTAAGTTTGTACTCTATCACCTAAATTTTTCAGATGAATCTTTTAAAAATGGGTATAACAGAACTGTATTCCTTTTAGTAATCAAAAACTACCTTAAGATACAGTAACTGTATAAACTGGAATTTTTATCTCCAATGGTAGACTCAAAGAGGTATATTCGAAATGCATTTACCATATCACCTTCTAGGTGAGAAATGCAGAACAAGGACATTCAAGAACAATCAAAGTGAAGATTCAAGCTTATCCTCCACAAAAAAGTATTTCTGTTCACATAAGGTCATGTTGAGAAACAATTAAAGGGCTGGGGATTTAGCTCAGTGGTTCTGCCGCCTGCCTTGAAAGTGCAAGGTCCCGAGTTTGATCCCTGGTACCAAAACAAACAAACAAACAAACAAACAAAAAACCAAAATAGAAACTCACTGAAGAGAAATGGATATATAAATAATTACAATATCTACTTCAATTAAAACGAGAAAATTTACTACAAAGTATTACTTAATAGTTATGTGCTTGGTTTATTCTTGCTCTATCATAGAACATTATTTCACATAAAACAAAAAATACAATAATTTCTATATTGCTAAAGTACAATTAAATAAACCAAAATAGAAAACATTTCTTAAAAAATTTAGGAAGGGACAGGGATTTAGCTAAGTGGCGCCAGGCCTGCCTCATAAGTGCAAGGTCCTGAGTTTGAACCCTGGTACTGGGAAAAAAAATTTTTTTAGTCAAAACAGTCTTGGATAAATGGAAAGACATCCTTTGTTTTTGGAAAAGATGATTTAATATCATAAAGGTGCCATTTCTCTAAAAATTTATAAATTTTAGAGAATCCCACTAAAATTACCAATGACTTTTTTGGGGGGTACCGGGGATTGAACACTGGCCCTTGCGCTTGGGAGGCAGGTGGCAGAACCAATGAGCTAAATCCCCACCCCTACCAATAACTTTTTATAAAGTAAGGAACACTGATTCTAAAGCTCATTTGGAAAATATGCAAAAATAATCAGAAAACACTGCATAACGTCAGGTATATACAGGAATCACACCTATCACACATTAAAACACACTTTAAAAAATGTGAATACTAGTGTGTGAATAGACAAAAAGTGTAGTGGAAAAGACCAGAAACAGAAATATACATACACAAAAATTTTAGTACATAATTAAGGTACCAACTGAAATCATGAAAGAAAAAAATAGTATTTTTAAAAAGAGGGCAGGAGTGCCAGGGATTTAGCTCAGTGGTTCTGCCACCTGACTCGCAAGCACAAGGTCCCAACTTCAATCCCCGGTACCAAAAAAAAAAAAAAAAAAAAAAGGGCGGG